AAGTATCCCATTGCAAATTATGTTTCTGCTGAAAAGTTATCTGCACCCCTCCAAGGCTTTGTACACCAGTTATCCGCAATTCATATTCCAACCAAAGTGAGTGAGGCCTTGAAGGATCCAAAATGGTTTCAAGCAATGACAGAAGAGATGCATGCTCTGGAGAAAAATCACACATGGACACTGGAGACTTTACCTCAAGGTAAGAGGACTATCGGATGCAGATGGGTTTATACTTTGAAGTATAATGCTGATGGGTCAATTGAACGTTACAAAGCACGGCTTGTGGCAAAGGGATACACACAAACATATGGTATTGACTACGACGAAACCTTTGCCCCTGTTGCAAAGCTTAACACCGTTCGAGTGCTATTGTCTATTGCAGCAAATCTTGATTGGCCTCTCCACCAATTTGATGTCAAGAATGCCTTTCTCCATGGAGAACTCACAGAAGAAGTCTACATGGATATCCCACCAGGATATGTTACATCCACTCATGCTAATGTGGTATGTAGATTACGCAAGGCATTATATGGATTGAAGCAGTCTCCCCGGGCATGGTTTGGGCGTTTTACATTGGCAATGAGGAATTATGGTTTTAAGCAGAGTAATTCTGATCATACTCTGTTCTTAAAGCACAAGGGAGGAAAGGTAACTGCTCTAATCATTTATGTCGATGATATGATTATTACTGGAAATGATACGCAGGAAATTTCTCGACTGCAAAAATGTTTGGCAAAAGAGTTTGAAATGAAGAATCTTGGTGGCCTCAAGTACTTCTTGGGGATTGAAGTTGCTCGATCAAAGCAAGGCATATTTCTCTCACAAAGGAAGTATGTTCTAGATTTATTGGCCGAAACAGGAATGTTAGATTGCAAACCTGTGGACACTCCAATTGTTCAGAATCACCACCTTGGGGAATATCCCAATCAAGCACCCACTAACAAGGAACGATATCAAAGATTAGTGGGACGATTGATCTACCTGTCCCATACCCGACCCGACATCGCGTATGCTATAAGTGTTGCTAGCCAGTTTATGCATTGTCCAAGTGAAGATCATATGGATGCGGTTTTTCGGATTTTGAAATATTTGAAGTCAGCACCAGGAAAAGGACTTCTGTTCACCAAAAATGGTCATCTGAATATTAGTGGCTATACAGATGCAGATTGGGCAGGAAATGTTACTGATAGACGATCAACATCGGGGTACTTCACATTTGTGGGAGGTAACTTGGTTACTTGGAGGAGCAAGAAACAGAATGTCGTTGCTTTGTCTAGTGCAGAAGCCAAATTCAGAGGAATGACCAAATGAATTTGCGAACTCCTTTGGTTGAGGAAATTGCTTACAGAAATTGGATATGCACCTACACATGTTTCATGGAATGTTTCATGGAATGTTTCATGGAATGTTTCATGGAATGTTTCATGGAATGTTTCATGGAATGTTTCATGGAATGTTTCATGGAATGTTTCATGGAATGTTTCATGGAATGTTTCATGGAATGTTTCATGGAATGTTTCATGGAATGTTTCATGGAATGTTTCATGGAATGTTTCATGGAATGTTTCATGGAATGTTTCATGGAATGTTTCATGGAATGTTTCATGGAATGTTTCATGGAATGTTTCATGGAATGTTTCATGGAATGTTTCATGGAATGTTTCATGGAATGTTTCATGGAATGTTTCATGGAATGTTTCATGGAATGTTTCATGGAATGTTTCATGGAATGTTTCATGGAATGTTTCATGGAATGTTTCATGGAATGTTTCATGGAATGTTTCATGGAATGTTTCATGGAATGTTTCATGGAATGTTTCATGGAATGTTTTAGGGTTATTACATGTATATATGCTTTGATGTGTAATAGAATGCAAGTAAGTTGAAATCAGAAAATATGCATAGCTTCCAAATTCTCTACACTCTCCACTATCTCTACTCAACATTCAATATCTCCTCCTAATTTGACAAAGTATACTCTCTCAAATCTCTTTTTCAATATTCCTGGTCGTTCTTCATGTTCTTGTTCTCTTTGGGTGTTTTGATCCATTTGTGCAGATTTCATACTGACTTAGCTTGTTCATTCAGGTGACCAAGTCTAAGGCCGCACACACTGGGATCTAAATGCCCCTCAATTGATGGTCAAAATTTAGAAACTATTCAAATTTATTATTAAAAAGGCTGAAACAGTACAATAAAAGACAACATCATGACCAAGGAAAAAAAATATTGCCCAACACCGGCTGTATACAATTACGGCATGTTTACTAATCCGTAATTGGATTAGGAGGAATTGAATTGAGTGAATTGAGGATGAATTGAATTGAGGAGGAGTTGGATTGAGGAGAATTAGATTCTGGATTCCTATTGAAGTTGTTTACCAAACTATAAGGATTGAGGGGAGTTAGATTTTGGATTCCTATTGAAGTTGTTTACTAAACCATATGGAATTGGGGTATGAGTGGTACTAATTACTAAAATGTCCTCGTTGTTTGATTAAAGTAAATGGTAAATTCGGAATTTTGAAAATTGTGTGAGGATATAATAGGTAAAAAAGATGAATTCATAATGGGTTAGTTCTCCAAGAATTAAAATACCACCTCTGACCCAAGAATTGAATTCCTCCAAAATCAGGATTTCAATTCCTAATTTTGTGCGGGTCCCACTTACTTTTCAATACCTTGATGTGAAGTAAACACAGGAATCCTCCACATGTGGAATTTAATTCCTGATAAGAATTTCAATTCCTGATTAGTAAACACACCATTAGTTACACCTAGAATTTTCTCTATAGACAAGAGTTTGCAACAAAAAACAAGCCCAAGGCATAAGACTAGAGACAAAGCTCAACACAACACAAGAAGCTACAGCATAATGTTAATGATGTAAAGTAAATGTAATCTTAATGAGTATGGGTTCTTGTAGTTTTATCTCTAATAATATAATGATAAGAACATTTTTACACGGATAGACCAAGTTCCACTTTTGCCCTCCTCCTCTTCTTACTATGAATCAAGAAAAGAAAAAAAATCAACTGACAAGGCGTGGTAAAATTTTTATTTTGTGGAACGAGTAAGACCAAGAAAGTACCATGCGTATACAACAATCTGCTATCGTGGATCTAGGTTCCAGATGGTTTAACGAATTAATAACTTGTGTAAATCTTAAAGAAGTTAAGATTTGGTAATGCTTTTAGGATGCTAAAAGCGCTTCTGGTATTGTTTGTGAGAGAAATCAAAAGAACGAGAGAAAGCAAAAACATTTTTAGTAGTGCTTTCTGGAGATGTACATAGTAGATGTTTGCTAGGAAGCATTACCAAGTACGTACTTTTCATGGAAAATTTTCAAAAAACACTTGAATATTAAAAAAAAAAATTCGGTTCTACTAATAAAAGCCCTTATGAGCACACACTCTCAAACAAGTCTATAACAAGATCAAGATCAAGACAAGCAATTTCAAAGTTATACACAGACGCAAATTTATAGAATTTAAACTAAGTCAAATCTATAAATAATGGTATTTAGGGGTTACCCCAACTGGAAGGAAAGGGATGGGATCCCAAAAACAAGGGTGCTAATTACTTCATTCTTCATTGATGCTCTCCAGACTTGGCTGCCAATGTTCTGGAGATGGAAATCTCTTAGGTGGTCTTCTTACCAAATTTCTTGTAGAATCCTTGCTCCTTCTCCTGGTAAGTGCCTTGGTCTCAATCTCAGAAGATGAAATACTGGTGCTTGATGATTTTGTTTCCTCTTCCAAATCATCACCATGTTCCTTAACCTTGGTCCCCATAAGAAAGCAATCAAAGCAATTATCTTGAGAAAAGCACCCCTCCTCTTTCTTCTTTCCTTTTGTAGTGGTTGATCCTGCATGATTAGAAGCCATGTTCACATTGTTTTCCTCATCGTTAGAATGTCTTGTACAAGCATATGGAGACTTGGTAGAATTATTATTCATGATAAACCAATTACAATAATTAGAAACCATCTCATCACTTTTCTGATCTTCTTTGCTTGGTGTGATGTCACTTTGCATTTCATGAACTGAAGTAGGTGAATACTTTAAAGAGAGCCTTTGAAGCTTCCGAATCGTGCTTATCGGCACCACGTAGTATTTCTGCCCTAGCCTTAGCATGGTGTCTGGTGCCACAATTGCCCATGGCTGCTGGAAAATGTGAGGATGTGCAACACAACATCTTGGGTTCCTTAGCATGAGCTCTGCTGCAAGAAGAGGGCTGTCATGCAGCTCGACATGCCCGCCGGGGTGAACAATTTTGACAAGCATCTTCTTGGTGTTGCTTGTGCAAAGCCATGCTGACAAGGACATTGTTTTCCCTGTAGTTTTCAAAGAAAGAAGAAAAAAAATTGTTCAGACTTTGTAGGGTTGGTATTTTTGTTGGGTGAGTTTTAAGTAGTGGCTCTTCTCTTGTGTGAATCGTGGATATCCATGATGAAACAGTTGGTGTTCTAGCTAACATGAATTATCATATTTTATTGTAATTAAAGTATAAAAATTCCTTGAAAATATCGTGGTACATTTGTTGCATTTAGGTACTAAAATGATTGAATTTGTCTCAATTGTAAATCCAAAGTCGAGCTGGTTTTTATTTGCTGGAAAGTGACTTATGATGCTTGCCATGTTTGGCTTTGATGATGTTGGTCAATCCTATCTCGTTAATTTGGCGGATGATTCTATATAGTTTGTACTTTATATTATTTGTACTTAAATCTCCACACTGCTAAGACAAAATGTTTGGCAGCCACTTATTATTAGCTTTGAATTTATCTTTACAAAGAAAGTGAGTGAGATCTCTACGAAAGGTTCTCCATCTTCTGCCTTTTTTACTGGGAAAAATAATGCTGATTTGAAGAAAAAGTGATTTTAGGACTGTCTCTTATACCATCTATTTATTTCTTTATTCTTGCTTCAAACCAAAAAAATTCAGAAGAAAAAAGGCTTCATTTGAGCTCAGAGGTAAAATGGCAATGAATCAGCTAAAGGAAAAAGAAAAAGAAATTTAGGATTGCTATGAAATGTCTACTTTCAATTTGATTCAATTTACAACTGGAGCAACAACAAGCTCTTCTTCTATTTTTCGGAGCAACACTTTCTTGGATCTGAATCCTTTGAGGAAAATATACAAAAATGATGACCAGAACACAAGGAAAGCTATCCAAAGATTCGAGCCATCCTCCTCCAGCAATAAGAAAGGCGACCGTCTTTAGCCTGGATTATGTATACAAGTGCTAGAGCACCGTTTATCGGTGGAAGGCTTGGCTCAGGCTGAGGGTACATAGTCTGCAATCCTCAATGACCCTCCAAGCTCGATAGGGACGAGAGGGATTAGCGAGTGCAGAACATCTGTTATCAATGGCCTGTAACTTGGTTCAGGTTGTACACATAGTACTGCCACAGCAGCGACCTGTTCATGGCAGAATAATTTCAACTTATCAATTTAACAAGAACGTACATGTTCGAAGTATCAATATAATCTAGCTCATTTAGGAACCTGGTACAGATGTTTTAAATCCATAGTATCTTTTATCACAGAATCCACAATGTTTGGAAGCCTTGATCTATCAGTGAGCTGAGGCATGGCCTGCATGTCAATAAATCAATAGAAACATTAAGTTCCAACAACTCATGTAGGGACGTTGTAGGGACTGAAAAGAAATACCCATGTGACTATGGATTGGCTTTCAGCTCCGGCTTTATTTTCCACCGATTTTCTTCCCATCAAGAGCTCCAAAAGGACAACTCCAAAAGCATAGACATCACTTTTATCAGTTAACTGACCTGAAAAAGAAGAAAAATTCAGATATTATCAACAAAATCGCTTAACAATCATCAAGGATCTAGGCAATATTTTAAGACAATTCCCTATTACTACATTTGCAGAACAAGGAGACGACATTTTATAGATATGATTTAGTATGAACTGAAGAGAAAAAAATTGGATTGCAAGCCAACAGCTCACATCTCAAGAAATCCCACATCAACAAATTACAACAGAAAACAAAGCAAGTTTCCAGCTAAATACCTGCCTTATTGGTATTAATTTTTGTTTTAAGAGTGCCTTGAAATGGAAAGAAGCATAATGCAAAACTGCATTCGGAGCCAGAACACAGAATATTCAACAACCAAGTCCATTATTGAAATGATTTAAGAGTTACTGGGACCACATACGGGGCAGTGGGTCTGAAAGATAAGAGCTAAAAATATCTCTGAAGACTAATTTAGGGTCCAAATTAGTTATTATCACAGCTTTTCTAAGGCAAATACACTGACATTAAATAATTTACTTAACAGGAGACGGGACATGAAAACTGCTTTGCTATTTATGAGGAGTTTCACTTTTGGGGGGGGGGGCAAGGGATCCTGACTAAGTGAAGTACACATAAATCATCACAAGAAAAAAGAGTTTCATCGATAGAAATTTCAGATATTAACTGCAACTTATCATATCTGCAGAAACTCGAGACATTTGCGGGGGAGCATTTTGCAACAGAATGACACTCATAATGGACATCAGCAGCATATTCACACGTCTAACGTTTACACATACCATCCAAAATGTACTCTGGTGCTACATAATCCGAAGTTCCTGACAGCTTTATGTTGTCCTTATCCTTCATCCCAGCAGTTACAGCAAGACCAAAATCTGAAAGCTAAATCAAGGCAAAACTCATTAGACAATGAAACTCTTATTATGGTAATAACAAGGGCTTGGATATGTCTAACCTTAGCGCTAAATTTTGAATCCAGAAGAATGTTAGATGATTTTAGGCCTCTATGGACCACAGGGGGATTACAGTGCTCATGAAGATATTCCAATCCCCTAAATGAGCATTAATGACGGAAGAAGTATCATGTTAACATATGTATATACCTATACAAAAATAGGTGATAGGACAATTAGTTCATTGGAATTACCTGGAAACATCAACAGCGATTTTCAACCGTAGATGCCAAGTCAAAGCTGACCCATGATTAGGTCCTACAAGATTAGTCAAAAATAAATGGTAACTTCAACGTGGGCTTTGCAAATGCCTTTTGTCATTTTCATAAATTGAGCCAGAAAATTCATACCATATAACTGAGTTTCTAAGGACCCATTCTGCATCATGTCATAAACAAGAAACCTTGCTTCGCAGTGAATGCAGTAACCCAAAAGTCTAATGATGTTTTGATGCTTGATTTTGCTCAACAAGTTCACCTCATTCTGCATAACAAGTATTCATCAAAAAGGGAACCCCATAACAACAAAAAAAAGTTGTATTCGGGAACCTGAATTCAAAGAAGTTTAAGATGAACTTACCTTAAATTCTCTATCAGAATCCGGACCTTCACTATTTACTTTCTTAACAGCTGCAATAAGTTTGTCATCAAAACTAGCTCTGTAAAGAAGTCCAGAACCATCCTCACTCAAAACATTACTTTGGTTGAAATTGTTTGTTGCATCTTCAAGCGATTGATAATTGAATATTGCAACTGAACCCTTCCTACTCCCCATTCGCAAGGAATTAAATTCAACCGTCATTGGATTGAATTGCATCCCCTTTGCAGCCTCTTTAGATGGATATTAAAAGTAGAATAGGGGGGAAAAGGAAAACAAGAAACATTATGATTATTCATTATCTTGATAATAGAGTATGAACATAAATCAAATGAAATGTTTGATGAGAAGAGGATACCAATTGGCTTTCCCTTTTTCCCATTGGAATGTTTCAAGGTTTTCTGTCTATAGATCCAAAAACACGACAGGAACAGCAAGATTCCTCCAAGGAGTGTGGAAGCAATAATGAGTGCTATAAGAATACTCTTGTTCAAATCTTGATGGTGAACTACTCTAACCTCAGGCAATCCTGTTTTAACAGGAAAAATATCCAAAATCATAATCAGTAATTAGTGTAACCCAGCATATGAACAAGTCCATGTGTGAAGTCCATTAAAGATAATCATATCACTTTTATTTAGCAAAGAAAGAGTAAGGAAGTCAATTTATTTTTTATCTGAAAATCCAGATAGGATGTTATCTAACTCTGGTGAACACATCTACAGAAAAATGGAGAGGAGAAGAGAACAGAATTTCTTATCTGTATTTCCTATGCTTTTCCAAATCTCTTAAATTCAAAAAACAAAGTCACCATTGCGAATAACCTTTTGCTTTTCATGGTTTCGGAAAATTTATAATGTCAAGGTTCACAATTTGAATTTCTTTCTTTCCCACAATCTCTACGCAACCAAAAGAGGGCGCAAATTAAGTATCTTTTTAACCAAAAAGTATGAGAAGCATTCTCCAAAAGTAAAAGTGGATCATTGGTAGACCCAAAAGCTTTCTTATGGCTTTAACTTTCAAAAAAACAATGATTGGAGATTGAATTTTTCAGCTCATTCTCCCCTGCATTTTCTCAGCAACCAAGCAAGGCATTCAAAGAAGACAACAGGGCAGGAAAGGTAGAATTAAATACTTCAAAAGATGAACAAATCTAAACTGACAATTTGCTTATTCTAGTTTGGAATTTCAGTGATCTAGTTCTGAATTTTAAAATCATACAAACCCACTAACCCATCTAGTAAACAGAAATTAAAATTAAAATTAAAATAATGTGAAATTAACAGAAAACAGAAAACAAAGAAAAGCTCTGGATTGTTGAAATACCTGGAGATTGAGCTTCCATTTTTGCAGAAAACTGAGTGATGGGTTCTTCCTCAACAAGGATAATGTGACCAGAAATGGTGGAACTTGTTGGCTTTGCTCTGGCTTCAATTACGGTTACCAACAAACTGGTGGTTGACACCCACATGGGTATTAACAGAAGAGCAAGATTCATGTCCACTTTTTACAGAGAAAGTGAAAAGAGTCGCGTGTATTTGGACTCTGAGAAACGTCTCTCTATTCTTATGTTTAGTTTGAAACTTTGAATCTATATCTTTTTACAAATATGTTTCTGTTTGTGTGGAGAAGGAGACAAAGGACTGTTGCAGGGAAACCAAGAAAGCACTTTTGAATGTGATCTGTATGTGCATCTGTCTAAAGCCAAGATGAGGCATGAAATCATGTGGCAGTTATCAAACAATCAAAAGGGTGAAACTTGAAAATAGTTATGGTGTTTGAGTTTGGATGTTGATAGTGGGAGGGAGGGGAGAAGGTTTCCACGTGACTCGTAAGTCTCCAGCCATGACCATCTTCAATTATGGTCATTATCCCCTTGCCAAAATATAAAAGTTAAATATTAATGGCCCTTATCCAGTAAAAAAAAAATTAAAAAATAAAAACATCTTTTCGTTTTGATTTTTGTAAAAGGTTTTTCTGGTTTTACCCAAGGTATTAAATATCGATAATATCCCTGATATTATCCCGATAATATCCCCGAGGTTTTAACAACTAACCATAATGTTATCGTCAATATATCGATATTATCCCGATAATATCGGGAAGATATTTTCAACATTTTTATGAATGATTTGGGCAATATATCGAGATATTATCGATAATATCCCGATACGAAACCCAAAAATATTTATATACATGGTATTTGTGAAAACCATTTTACTCCTTCAACACCTTAACCACCATATCACTTATGTTTTTGTGAAAATACTAAAATATTTATATATATACATGGTTTTGTTTTGAATTCTTTTTGCAAAAAACAAATTTTCACATGAGATGAGTAGTAACTATGGTTATACTCATAACCAACCATTTCCCTACCCTTCATATCCCATTTCTGTTGGGATGGAATCAAGCGACTCATGGAAAGGATCCGAGACTCAATCTTCAAATGATTTTGCTTATGGACAACGTCAACCAATCTCGGATCCATATGGGTGGCATGTTAACAATTACATGCAAAACTATTTTGGGGATTTATCATTTGATGACTATTCTTCAAAATATACTTACTCTACACATAGAGATGATGAAGATAGTGAAAATTTTGAACCTCATAGGAACTCTATGTGGTACTAAGTCACTCATGTATCTTACCATGCAATGTATAAAGTGTAAAATATTGTAGTAATTCATTATATATAAATGATTATGGTGTGTTTAATCTTCTTTCATTAATTACTACATATTTTCTACACTTACGGTGTTTGCCAGCTCGCTATATAATCAACTTAAATCAGTTAAATCCATCATGCAATGCATTTCCTTCCAATTTTTTGTGATAAACTAATAGATAATTGACTAAATAAACATCCTGCAAAGTTTCAATAAAAATTTCCAAGTTTTTCTTACAATTTCCGTGGTTTTTATTCAATTTTTTCCGATACCGATAATATCCCGATATTTCCTGCGATATTTCCGTGTTTTTTGACTTCCGATATTTCCGATACCTCCGATATTTAAGACCTTGGTTTTACCACTTTCTTCTCCATAATTTTAATTCTGTCAATTTTATCTTTTTAGTTTTAAATTCCTCATAATTCAACAAGTTACAAATTTTATCAAATTTCTTCTAAAATTCTCTCCAAAATACTCCTTCACGTCAAGACACGTACTTACTCCATTAAGGAATTGGACGGAAATTTGGACGTGTCCTTAAAGTACGAGGGAAACTACATTGGTCAAATTACTAGAATTTGAAACCAAAGATATTGAAGTGAAAAATATGGCAAACTATCAAGACCAAAAGTAACTTTTTACCTTTATTTTTATTTCTCGCTAGTATTTTTTTTCGCTGCTAAAATGAAAAATATGTTGGATGAAAGATGATATCACAATTTATCTATCTATATATATAAAGCAAAAGGTAGAGAATGGTGAAACATTCAAAATACCAGAAATGCCCTTGGTTAATGCAAACATTAAGAATTGAAATTATTAATTAAATTAGGATAATATGGTAAATTCATACTTTTTCATATTTAAAAAAATTAAAATTAAAAGAAAGATCAGATATTGGATCCTATTTTTATAGAACACAACTACCCATTATCTTTTTTAATTCTAAAATAAATTTTAAATTTTTTTTAAAAAAACCTCTCGCAGGCGCTGAAGTGCATACAGAGAGGCTAATTTTCTATAACAGTGCGTTTGGATGAGGAAATTTAAATGTACAAAGGATTTCATAAATGACGGAAATTAATGTTCTAGAATTTGTAAAGTTTCTTGTTTGGGTGACGGCTTTAAAACACGGAATTTAACCTTTATTTGTGAAGTTATCTTTTTTTAAAACTCAATCTCCCTTTGGATTTTAGAAATGACAACTTTTAGATAGAATTTAAAGTTGGGATTTATGATCTCCAAATTCCATGTTTTTTCCCACGCGGAATTTCTAAATTTCTATGTTTTTTTATCCAAACACGGGAATTGGTTCATGTCAATTTAAAAATTCTGAATTTTGTCAAAATCCCAAGTTTATTTCCCTCATCCAAACACACCAGAGTTATTCATACTTCCGTAAAATGATTAGTGATGGGTTTATGGAATGTAACAATTTTATTTATTATTTTTTTACTAAAGATTTAGTTTTTTCTTTTCTTTTTCTTTTTTATTTATGATGAAATAGAGAGAGTCAAAGTTTTTATGTGAGTATGAGGGTAATTTTATTTTTTAGAAGAGGAGACTTCATTAGATAATCAAATGTTTACAAGATGCAACAACATGTTACATGTGGCCTCATTAAAACATTTTTGACGAAAACACAGAGGGATAAAACCCCTAAGGAGGTAAGAGTACCATACATGTCAATAGACTACAAGAGAGTCAAAGAAAGTCAAACATCAACAAAACTATCAGGACAATCCTCACAAAGACAATCCCCTCAACCAAGGGGGTGGGTCAGCAAACCAAAAGAACAAGTCCTCCTAACTAAGACTGTATCACACAAGACGATCTGCAACCCCATTAACAGTGCGGGGAACAAAACGAACAAAACAGGACGGCTAGATCATTGTTGCTATAATAGATTTATAAACACCACAAAAAGAATGAGTTTCCATCAATCAAAAAGATGATACAAGAATGAACATGGAGGATAATGAAAACCCTCTTTGACAATCTTGATAATAATTATGGATGGAGTAGTTTATCCGTTTCCTTAAACAAGTCGAGATTAAACTTAATGCTTTATCTTTTTTCTTCATTTTTTATCTCTATACTGTAAAATATACATTTGATTTAAAACCATAAAACCTAAAAATGAAATGCCTAAAACCATCATGAGTTTGAAATTAATAAATACATTCAAACAACACAAACTCATAATATATCTCAAAATTAAGAATCTATATGATAAATCTTAAGTATTGGTTTTGTGGTATTCATTTTCCTTTGTTGGGAGGAGATCTCAAATCCAATCATTCATCTCTTTGAAAATAAAAATAATACAAGTCGAGATTAAACTTAATGCTTTATCTTTTTTCTTCATTTTTTATCTCTATACTGTAAAATATACATTTGATTTAAAACCATAAAACCTAAAAATGAAATGCCTAAAACCATCATGAGTTTGAAATTAATAAATACATTCAAACAACACAAACTCATAATATATCTCAAAATTAAGAATCTATATGATAAATCTTAAGTATTGGTTTTGTGGTATTCATTTTCCCTTGTTGGGAGGAGATCTCAAATCCAATCATTCATCTCTTTGAAAATAAAAATAAAAATAACACAATCAACATTAGTTAATAACATTTAAATATTTATGCTGTCATATAATTAATAAATATTTGAAATCATATCAACTGTCAGAAATAGTTTTTTGTTTTCATTACAAAAGGGAATTGAATCAAGGTTCCCTTCATCACACTCCTTCATGTCGCTTTAAGCTGATGTCTGAAATAGTTTCTAATTATTAGAAAGTGAGAAACTCATGCTCTCGGTTTGGTCCCTTGAGCCCCCTTCAGCAACCAAAACAAAAAACAGAGCACTTGTGCCATTGCATGACAAACAAGTGCATTTGGGTCACAAGTTCAGTCATTTTCAGTAAGGTTTTTATTTTTATATACAAGCGATATTTTATTTTAATCTAATATAAATGGTGGGGAGGAGGATTTGAACTAGGGTGCAAAGTGGAGTCCATATCTGTTTAATAGTAAGGTCTTTTTTAGCTGTTACTTGAAACTTCAAAAATCTCATTTCCAAGTGCAATTTCTTTATGATACTTTTATAACGGAGGAGTAGATAATGAATTTTTTGGAGTTCTAATAACAGTTTCTACTTTTCCCCTTTTTTAGTGAAGTTTTTGAAGAAATTCATTGGCAACTTCTCTCATCTAACCAATTTAGTAAACTAGTGGCTAGAAATTTATAGGACTAATTGTATACGACTTACATTTTGGTCATTTAATTTGGATCTTTAGTTCTTCAACTTGATGTGGCACGGTTAATCCTACCGTCAGATTTCTCACGTTTTGCATCTATTAGGAGCGAAACAATTTTTTCATGTTCTTTATAAGAGTCTGATCGGAAAGGAGGGAGCGGGGGCTAAGGGGTCGAGTTGGAATCTGGAAGTGGGGAGTTCTTGGTGGCGGAGGAGAGTGAGTTGATGTGATCTTGAGGTTCTCTTTGATGGAAGAGCACTGCACCACTCATCATTCCAATATCGGCACAATGTTATACAAATTTTTCCTTTAATGAAACTGTTGAATTCAGCCACAAAAACTGATAAAGAATTTATTAGATATATATCTTTTTGACTTTTCTGCTATAGTTATTGAGTACAATTATTTGTCCTTGCTACAAACTTTCATGTGTCAAATATTAGTTAGCTTATTAAATTTGCTTCTTCTTGTCCAAAAGATTAATAAAAGGATACATCACTTTGTATGGCCGAGAGGAGTGAGTCTAGCCCCTCTTCTAATCGTGACAAATATAAAATTTTAGAAATGTCATTTGAAATTATACACGAGTTTCATTTGATGACTTAAAAAACACATATCATCTTTACTTTTCAAAATACCAAATGTGTCACCTCCGTCCAAAAGATAGTCATACATTGTGCACATGCGTCAAAATCTAGGGCCCTCACATATAAAACTAGTCCAAATAATGTTTGGTAACCTCAGTGGGATAAAGAAATGTCAGTCTGCTTATTCCTCAAGTGGACCAAGGCCTCCTCTCACTTCACACACATCACTAGCACTCATATGATGCAAAACACACCACAAATTTGGAGGAAAAGGAAGAGTGATGAGATGCATTTCTTTTTAATGCATCAAAGAAAGCCTAAATTCAAGAACAAGCCCTTGAAACCTAAGTTGCAAGGGAGAATGAGATAATGAGGTAGGAAGGGTTCGATCGCTCTCCAATGTCACCAAACAAAAAAGATAACATTTAAAGACAATAATGGGCCCTGGCCTTTTTCAATGCGCAACTCCTTCCTTAAGAGTCTGTTTTCTTAAATGGACTAGATCGGCAACAAAAGAAGCTTGTAAATCAGAGAAATTCTCCCAAGCCCAAGCTTTAGTCTATTTGCCAATATGGTAAAGACATTTTGGTTCTCTCTCCTGTAAAATCTGTATGTTCTTTGGCAAGCGCAGTGAAGTGAAACTGGAAAAATTAAGGAAAGCATGTATGTATTGAATAACATGCACATAGGGAAGCAGGACTCAACTATATTTTCCATCTCATTTATTGGTTTTGTTAGTTATTGTTGTCAACCTTGGCACTTCAAACTAGGCAACCCGCCCATTCTGCCCACATTTTGAGTTCCAACCTTCCTCAATCTCAGGAGAGAGAGAGAGAGAGAGAGAGAGAGAGAGAGAGGGAGAGAGTTCATCCATATTGTTGAAACTAGCATCCATATCTGTGAGCCTGAGGCCTTATCTGATGCATAGTAATTGCAGCACATTAATGCACCTTGTGCTGTGGATTTAAGCATCTTACAGATTTGGCAGTTGACTTTGCACACTTCACCTCATAAGGAACCAATTAAAGACATGATTGACAAAAAAATTATGTGGCTAATATCAAAATTAAATCCAAAATTAGTGAGGAAAGGAAAGACTTCTTTTTGTTCACTCCTTATATTAGAACAATCCTCGAGTGTAGAGAGAAACATGAACTAGAAAATGAAAGCAAACACAGCACTCATTGTGACTACTTTAGCTCTGCTACTGATCACTCAAACAATCACAGAAGCTCAGCACAATCCCACGCACAAAGAAGTAGAAGAAGAAAAGAGATCAAGAAGCACTAGAAGCAGCACAAGAAGCAGAAGCAGAAGCAGAAGTAGAAGTAGAAGAGGCAGCAGCAATGGAGGAAGAACAAGATCAAACTGTGATCCATTGTTTCAATACCTGTTTGGAACCTGTGGCCAATGGCCTTTCCCTATAAACCCTTCCCCAAGCAACCCTTTTGACCCAACACCTCGACCCTCTCCTCGACCGCCACGTATCCTGCCTTCTCCTCCCACACTCCCCTTCCCTCCTTCACTTCCATCTCCACCCCCAGTAGTACTATCTCCACCCCCATTAGTGCTCTCCCCACCCCCATTAGTACTATCTCCACCACCACTAGCACCCCCCCCTTTAGCTGCTGCTCCACCGCCATCATCACCGCCTCCTTTGCCCTTGCCACCGCCGCCTTTGCCACCGCCGCCTTTGCCCTCGCCACCACCGCCTTTGCCCTCGCCGCCACCACCTTCCCCACCTCCTCCACCACCATTAGTTCCATCACCACCTCCACCATCTCCTAGTCCACCACCACCACCAGAATTCCTCCCCCCACCCATCCCAATTGTATATCCACCACCAGAAATGATACAACCACCCACCCTTCCATGGCTAACACCTCCCCCATTAGTACCTACACCAGAGCAACCAGCCTTTGATCTTCCTCCACCTACAGCAGACTTACCACCACCTGCTGAAGACTCTCCTCCATTTTCATTTGCACCACCAACTATATCAACCCCAACTGCACCAGAGCCTGGTGTGATTACTCAGCCACCATCTTTGCCCATTCCTCAGTCACCAGAAATCTTTCTTCCACCTCCAATTCCTGAAGTGCCCCAAAATCCACAGGGGCCATTTCCATTTGTACCACCAATTATATCAACCCCAACTGCACCAGACCCTGGTGTGATTGATCAGCCACCATCTTTGCCCATTCCTCAGTCACCAGAAATCTTTCTGCCACCTCCAATTCCTGAAGTGCCCCAAAATCCACAGGAGCCATTTCCATTTGGGTCCACGCCACCAGCACCAGATATGGATTTCAATGAGCCATTGTCACCCCCAGAAATCCCTTTTCTGCCTCCTGTTGATCAGCTTCCACCGGCGTTTGATTCACCTCCCTCTTATAGTTAAGAACTAATTAATTAAATTGTTTTCTTTGGTTCTTATGCTTCTTCAGTCTAGATGAAAATAATTGCTACGTACCAAAATGTGAATTGTGTTTTGTTTTGTAATGTATCAATGTTTTGGAGAATTTGGATGCCACAGATTCTATTCTCTCACATTTTCAGCATATAACTGATTTACTGACGAAACGATGTCGTCGTTAGAGCAAAACAGAGTAAAAATGCTTGCATTCTATTGAGTGTATACATACAAGGCCAACTGAAACACTCGATCATGAAAACTATAACAAATCCTAACTAATATCTAATAGTTAAATTAACTGATAATTAATGAGTTCATTTTCACTCACCTCCTTTTAACCCTGATATTGTAGCTCACCCCTTTCTTAAATTCTGCCACAAATACTTAACCCATACTTAGAGTATCCATAATGGGCTCTTTAAACCACCTACTTAGATAAATTTTAGTGGGGATTTGAAAAAATATAATTTCAACCATGCTCCCTATCCACCTCCTAAAATAGGGAGACTTCTAGGAACTCCTAAATCTAAGGAGAGAGAAAAGACTTATAATGGCTCCCTATAATTTAATGCTGCTTTATTTTGAGTCCAGTTTTCCTGTTACCCTTTTCCATGTGCCTCCCTGTTACTCTCCTAATTTATTGACACATGTCCTTATACTTAACTTCTAACATAACAGTGTTAACTCTTTTAATAAAAATAAAACAAAAACAAAGATAATTATTAAAAAGAGAAAAAAACAACAGCCACCACTATAACCACACCCACCCACCGGCAGACCACCCAACCTGGACAACCAACCCACCCATCCATCCAGGCCAGCCAGCCCACCTCGCCAGGGACAACCCCTCTCCCAGCCGCTACCTGAAGCAGCCCCTCTTCTCTTCTATGTCCTCCCTCTTTATCAAGCAACACCAAACTCATAAATCTGATCTCTTTTTCTCCATGGCTAAAACCCAGAATCTTTTCTCCATGTCATTTCTCTTATCTATCTTTAACCCAACAACACTAGAAAAAGGGGGGGGGGAATATCATGGCAACATCAAATGCTAGATCTAGTAGATCCAGATATGGATATCATCTCTCATAATTTCATAGGCTTAGCTGCAGCAGAGGTTTGAAGGTGAAGGGATGTTGAGGCCACAACACACTATGGTTGATTGTACAAAACATCCTACAATTTTGAAGCCCTTTAATGTTATTCTTGTTCGAGGCTTTAACAGATGAGATTGACTATGTTGTTAGGGTTTTGAGTTTGGGGAAGAAAATGGTAAAGTATGAAAAGAAAGAGAGAGAAAAGAGATATTGAGATAATAAGGTGTTTTTGGCAGCAAGGAGGAGAGAGTTTGTTAATGTATGAATTTTGAGTATTTCTTTTGGCTTCCCTTGAAAATTTTGTAATAGGATTTTTATTGTTTTTATCAAGCTCAAGTTTAGATTAAGAATAGCTTCTCTTGGTGTTCTTAACTAACAACTATCCTATGGAGGTTCAAGCAAATTAACAAAGGTAAATTGTGCATTGCATCACATTACATTAAATTGATTTCATAAAATGATGACTAGTCATCCTTGCTCTATAGGATTTCCAGCTGGATAACCAACTTTTTTGTCCTATTCTCCATTCCCTCTCTGCTGCCATGTGTCGATTCTGACCTAAGGAATTTGGTGTAAAAACCTTTGTATTCCTCTTTTGGCAGCTGTGACTTTGGGAGTCAAGTTTTGGAAAGTTTCTTTGAAAACTTTCGCTTCTTCCTCTAGAGTAACCTTCATATTTTTCATCCTTGAGTTTTCCAAATTGTTTCTTTTTGAAAACTGCATTTGAAAAATGAATATCTGCATCTAGCTAATTAAAACACTCTCTCATTTATATCTAGGTCAGATTCAAGACTGATTTCTTCAAGAGTATGGTTTCTTGAAGAAATTGGTCATTCTCCTTTGAATCCAAATTTTGGTTTCAGTGTGTTCCTTTGTAAGAATCTTTTTCTACTTAGTGGATTGCCTGGTCGGTTGATAACCCCCAGTTTTTCCCAATGGTGGATTTCTGGGTGAACAAATTTCTGGTTTGCATATCTGAATTTTCTGGGTTTGTGTTCTTGACGGTTGACTAGTCATCGTATGAATTCTGGTTTTGTGTTCTTGGTGGTTGACTAGTCATCGCATGAATTCTGGGTTTGTGTTCTTGATGGTTGACTAGTCATCGTATGAATTCTGGGTTTGTGTTCTTGGTGGTTGACTAGTCATCGTATGAATTCTGGGTTTGTGTCTTTGTAGTTGACTAGTCATCATTATCTGATGTTTGGTGTTTACTTGATTATGATGATTTCACACTTTCATCATAGTTGTTGCTAGCATAGGGGATGCCTAAATTGACGGGTCCTTCTGAGTGCCTAGGTTGTCACTAGTAATTTTCTAGGGTTGCAGGTACATTGTGGCATGCTCTATGTGTATTCTTGATTGTGGTTGTTCATGACTAGCAGTTGACTAGTCATAAGTGTATTTGGTCAAGGTTTAAAGTGTGTGAAGATTGTTGCGTTTTGTTTAAGTGTCGTAAAATTTACCCCTCGTCACCTAAGTACCAATTTTAGGGTTGCCACCGACGAGATGGGGTGGCTGACCAGGTTGGATGGGTGGGGGGGTTTGGCTGAGGTTGTGTGGGTCGATGGGGCTGTAATGGCTGTTGTTTTTTGTTTTTTATTTAATAATTAGCTTTGTTTTTGTTTTATTTTTATTAAAAGAGTTAACACTATTATGTTAGAAGTTAAGTATATGGACATGTGTCAATAAATTAGAAGGATAACAGGGAGGCATAGGGAAAAGGGTAATAGGAAAACTGAACTCCTTTATTTTAGGAAGGTGATTTTCTCACTCCCTTTTTCTTCACTTACACTCTCTTTTACTTTTTAATACTTTTTAATCATTTTTGTTCGTTTTTGTTCTTTCTCTTTTCCATTGTACCCTTACCTTACAAATTCCCTTTAATAAGAAGACATGTACAATCACTTACTAATATTATGAAAGAATAAAAATATGAGACTATTATGCATACCTTACTCTCTGCTAATGATAGTTTTGTTAGTTCCATTCTTTGGTTCTTCTACCTATAAACATGTTAGCCCAAAATTTTTAGGGCTTCTTTAGATCTAGGTCCAAAACGGTTAGCTGTCATTGGGTTTAGTTCTCACGTTTTTTATTTTAGATGTAGGTCTTTTAACATTTATTACTCTTTTTGTTGTTTCGATTTTACCCTTTGAGTTAAATAAGGAAAACACATTGAAAATCTAAATTTAATGTATTATTTCCTTGTAATTGAATTACAGAATTTAAATTTTGAATTCTTTCCTAAACTAGTTTAAGTAGTTTTTAAAATAGTTTTTGTATGTTTTTAGTTAAATTTTAACCAAAAAAAATAAAAATAAAGAGCATGATCTAACTCGCGGCGGAATTTCAAGAGAACTCATAAAATGAGGTTGGCCATCAGTCTTCCAAACTTGAGACCCCAAGTAGAGACCCCATTGGGGATAGCCCAACAGCCTTCCAAACTTGGACGTCCTTGCCAGATCAAAGCAAAGCCCGCAACAAAACTACCGCATCAGTTCTTGCAAACCTTGAAGACGTAGATGGCTGAAAAAGCTGTAGATTTGCCAGAGGAATGCTGGGAACTGATAATCAAACTGCTAGACCACCCCTCTCACTTCAATTCACTCTCTTTGGTCTGCAAGCAATTCCTGTCAATCACCAATAGACTTTTGTTTAGTCTCAATCTCTCTGATCCAACAGTTCAAGCCCTTCTGCCTCGTCTTCTTCAAAGGTTCCGTCGGATCAAACAGATAGAATTCACTGGATTTCAAGGTGACATGAACTCAATTCTTCATCAAATTGCGCTATCTGGGTTGAATCTAGAATCGCTGAACGTTTCCAAGCAACCAACTTTACCAGTGGTTGGTTTAAGAGCGTTGGGATCCAAAATGATGGATTTGAAGAGTTTGAACTGCTCCAAGATGGGGTTCTTTGGGGATTCTGACCTGACTGTGATTGCAGAGTCATTTCCATGCCTTGAAGAGCTTGACATCAGCTATCATGCGGATGAAAACAGTTATTCCACAATTGGGTCGAAGCCCATATCCGATTTGGGCATCTTTTCATTGTCATTGAAGCTCAAGAGCCTGAGGACGATCAACCTTTCTGGTAATAGCTTCATTACTGATAAGTCCCTTGTGTTTTTGTCTACCAACTGTTTGTTGTTAAGCCAAGTTGTGCTTCACTTTTGTAACTTTATATCACTGAATGGTATATCCAAGCTCATCCATGGCTGTTCTCACTTGAATTCTATTTCGGTTCATGGAATTGGGAATCCTTCTGTTAATGCAGCATTCAAAGTACCATTCCTAAGCCCGAAAGCTTTATCGGCTATTGCTCTTTCGGATTCCGATATTTCGGATGAATTTCTGTATGCAGTTGCTGAAGCACGTTTTCCTCTGAAGAAGCTCACTCTTTCTAGATGCGCAAACTATAGTTTTTCTGGAATTTCGGTTTTGTTGAATGAGTACCAATCTCTTGAGTACTTAAATCTTGAAGCAGCATATTTTCTTAGGGACAAGGACATAGCTGAGCTATCCAGGTTCCTCCATAGTATCAATCATATAAACCTTAGTCATTGCTATGGGTTGACTTGTATCACCTTCTACACCCTCATAAAAAACTGTCTGGTTTTGGATAAGTTGGAAATGGTAGCAACAAGTATTGGGGAGGAAAACATTGAGACTGACTTTAAGGCAAGCCATGGAATCAAATCTTTAAACTTGGCAAATAATTCATTGGGCAATAACTTTATAACAAGTTTTGCATCTATTTGCCCCAAATTGGAAGTGCTCAATTTGAGCAAATGTAAGGGAATTACAGAAGAAGGCATAGTAGAAGTATTGAAGAGATGCTCTGAGATTAGACAATTGGAGGCAAACCACATTCGAGGGATGACGAATTCTTTTTTACACCTTGAGTTTGAACTTCCCAAGTTGAAGGTGTTGTCTCTAATGTTTTCTGGAATCGATGATGATGCGTTGGCTATGATTGGTAAAAGATGTTGCGGGCTACTGAAATTGGACTTGGCAGGCTGCTTGAGTTTGACATCAAAGGGGGTGAAGGAAGTGGTGGAAAACTGCAAAGAATTGAAGGAGATAAATTTGAAGTGGTGTAATAAGTTCAGTGCTGATATTGTTCCTTGGATGGTGTTTTCAAGACCATCACTGAAGAAAATAGTTCCTCCTAGTCGTTTTGTTCTTACTGAAAGACAAAGGAACCTTTTCTTGCGTCATGGGTGTGTGGTGTATGAGGGGGGTGCCTTTGAATGAACTTTACAGGTGATGAAGTATTCTCTTGCACAAAGTCTTTTTTGAATAAAAATATGTGAAGATTGCATTTGGATGTTTGTCTTTCTTATATTGTTAAACTCAATTTATTATGTAGCAACTCTGTTCACAGCCAATAGCAATTGTAGAGGATGCTTTCTGATGCTGGTGTTAATTGTATCTTGAATCTTACATAACGACACATTGTCATTAAGACCTATATTCATTGCTTATAGTTGGAATGGGTATTGGAATTGTTCCAATTTCTGACGTTCTTGGCGTTTATTAACACGTAAGGAATCCAGGGTTAGAAATTGTGTTCAGTTGCAAGAAATGGCTGCAATGAAATTGCGTTCAATTGCAAGAAATGGCTCAACTGCAAGTAGATTTAGACAAACTAGTTAAGGTTTCCATAAAGATAAATACAAAAAAGGCACGGTAGGGCAAGTGAACTCAGAGTATCTGTGTTAATGCTAGCTCAACCATTGATTTCTCAATCTAATCCAATCCGGTCAATTATGCCTAGAATGGAACTTATATTCGGTGTGCTCTGTGAGTGGCAGCAAAGGGAGGTCTGGAACTCATCTTTTCTTGGCAATGAACTCCATCAAAGGGAGTTTTGTGGAACCCCTATCTCAACTGAAACATAAAATTACAACAATGCTGTAGAAAATGAGAAAAGAAACAAGCGAACAAAGAAAAAAACTACAATTCCGAATTCTTCCCAAAAAGTTGGATTAAACCATTGAGAAGACCAGAAACATGAATTCGATTTGGGTTTTAATAACAAACAAAAGGAAATGAACTGTAAAGATGAATTTACAACTGATAAGTCTTTACTAACGCAACCCATTGGAACCAAATACAGCAATGCTTGTGTTAGTCGGATGTTGTATAACTAGAATAGTTTACCAAACGTGTCTTAGTAGAAGAACAGATAAGCAACATACTTATTCAAAACAAGTGAAAAAGAAAAACGAAATGAAACGAAATGAAACTAGTATGGGCCCTCAATTTCACTTTTCTTCCCTACAAAATTGAAAAAAGTTATAGCTGACCAGATACAAATCAAAATGCTGAAGAAACAGACAAACAATGTCGACTGGTCTAAGTTTTGTTATCTGCCTTGTACCGGAGACCAAGTTTAGAGAGAAACTCTGGCTTGTCCCGGAGACCAAGTTTAGAGAGAACAAAGCAGTAAGAATCCCAGTCAGTTTTTCGAAGATACTTCAATAACCTCTTCCTTCTCTGCAACATCGCTTGAAGACCCTTACGGGAATGCTTATCCTACAAAAAATAAATAAACAAACTGTTACGTAGAGTAATAGAAACTTGTGACTAAATTAAAATGTTAAATAGACCCATGTAATGCACATATGCTTAACAAGTCAACATCAGCACATTGCTTTTTTTTCTTTTCGGTAACAAGGAAAACTCCATGGCCTTAAGCAAATTTGGGTGCAATCACTCACAAACCACATGTATCAAGTAAGCCTGAGTATTTATGCGTCAGTGTGGTTCAAAGTTTACCACTTGACGTAAATAAAAAGTGTAACAGGAGAAGAATAACAGCAAAAGAGTGATCAGTGGGTGGCATATGTGTATGCATGTCCTTGCAGAGATATATGGGATCTCACTCTTTGAGGTGTATTCTCAATCAACAATGCAGTAATGTTCACAAGGACAATCTGGCTTTTGGTAAACATAATCACCAGAAAATTATGAAGTGCAAATACAAATACACCAGCACCTCAATACTTGCACACAACTAGTGCCAATGTTTGTTTTCAAGGTGAACCTTCACGAGTAACAGCTAGGGTAAGCTAACATTGTGTTAATCCAATGAACATGCCCCTCCGTTAATTTTATCTCTAATTACTTGGGACTATTAAGACTTCACAAAGCTATCTCAAAACCCACAAGTGGAGCTGTACCATGTCAATTGTGCACAAAAAACAGGGAAGAGTTAAACTACTACCTGGAATAGTAGCATGACCAACAATATTTGAAGTATGAAAACAAAAGCATGAAACAGGAGGAGATTATTGGTTCCATTGTCACCTTTTTGTGTAAAACTGAAGCTAGATGTTTGATCTTGGTTGTGAGCTGCGCCACTGCAGAACAATCAGGAAAACAAATGGTTAATAAACCTTCAAAGCAAGAATCAGAAGGAGACATGCTATGCCCATGCTAATTTCAGCACATTGAACCCTTTATTTTTCCCCAGAAAGGGGAGTGGGGCAGGAATTTTTTTTCTCTTTTAACTCGGTTTTTGGATTCTTTGTTGTAACTCAGTTTCCTGCATAAAATCAAATTCCCTGTTCCACCTTGTTTTTTTTTTTTTTTCCCCATTTTTTAATAAGCAAGACAATTTTATTCACACAAAAAATCAAGAAGAACAAGATCAAATATCAAGTTCAAACTTCAACTTCAATGGAGACCTTAACAACGTCAATTCCTAGAGAACTACAGTATAAGGTTGCTCCAAAACACCAGAAGAGCATCAAAATAGATTATAGAGGCCCTTCTGTAAGTGAAAAAGACAATTTGGGTCTGCAGCTTGGAATGCTTAAGGACCCCCAATTGGAACCATATTCTCAAAACATCTACTGTTTCTTTCCCTTCATATACACAAAGGAGCCTTCCACCAACAATCACTAAACTCTACTAACTCTATATCCCCTTGGCCACAGGAAATCATTCAATGAGCCGGATATAACCAACTGAACCTCCTAATAATAGAGGAAAGTAGACCACAACTCTTAAGCCACCTGTAGTATAGCAGAAGTTGGTCAACTGATTCCTTGGCATTTTTTAACATATAAAATATTTTTTAACTAAGATGATCCTCCTCTTCCTGAAATCATCAAAGGTGAGGATTCTACCCTACAACAAAGACCAAACAAAGAAAGAAAGTCACCTTAAGCAGTACTCTAGTTCACCAAATGGTACTCACGAGAACCTTTAACATTGCTGTAGAAACTACAAACTTCAAACACCCTTATTGAACCCACAGACCATCTAAGCACATCTCCAGAAATTTTCAATCTTCACTACTTAAAAGTTTGGAAAACGCAATCTTTTTCATTTTTTTCTATTCCTCGGTTTCTCTATGGTTAGCTATATTGATCAATAACACCATTAAAAGTTTCCTAGATATGTTTCTTTATAGTTCTTGATCTGTAATTATCATAATAACTAACTGAAAACAAAGTAAAAAGGGGATATCACCCACTAAAAGGACTTGGCCGACACAACTCTGCACTATAAACCAATGTCAATTTATATTATAGATTTGAACATCCTTTTGCAGAGTATAACCTTTCTCACCCTTCTCTTCTCTTCCAACAGCATTGAAAGGTATAACAATGAAGAATATAATATAGAAAAGAAACTTTGAAAAAATAACAAATAACAATTAAACAGCCCTCGTAAATGTTACTTATGAAAGTAGATTAAAAGACTGTTTGCAAGGCAACTGAAAGAACCAGACAAAAAGTGGAATTAAATTTCTGCCCAATTAAATGATCAGTAAAATGTGCGTGCCAAAGGTAAAGAACACTTGTATAATGGAAAATAAAATCATAAAAATGCATACAAATAAAAAAAAGTGTAATGAAACCAAAATCATAACCCATACCTTGAACTCGTGCAGAACCACAATCTGACTCTGACATTTTAAATTCTTCTCTAACTTTGGCAAGCTCAATTTTCAGTTTTTCTGCAGAAGACATGTTATCTGGATGGAAATACTGCATCAAATATTTCATTAAACATATTACGCACCAAACTACTGATCAACATTAACAAAATTAGTATTACTTCATGCGAGAGTTACAACAACTCAAGCATCTATAAGTGCAAAGCAAAATTTATCTGAGAAGAACGCATGCTCTCGACAGAGAGGAGGATAACATAGAAAATGGTGGGGTATGGGTAATTTAGCGTCTTAAATCATGAATCTTGTGAAAATTCCCAAATGATGCATAAAGTTAACAGAAAATATATACTTGCCTTTTCAACCAAGTATTCCTTGGGAGGTTGCAGCATAAAGCTAGGCGTTCGGCCAAACTGGCCCAAGATATCAAGCCTCTGGACTGCAACAATAAAATCAATTAATAAATTGAAAAAACCAATCGAGCTCAATCAGCATAAAGTTTTGCTTATAATATACTTGTAAATTAAAAGTACAAACCAACAAACTCAAATTTGATAATTCCCTTTCATACTCTACCTTGTGATGAACCCAGGAGTTTTCTTTGGTAGAAACCAGAATATAATCCCACAAGATAGAACTCGAACTAATTTATGTTAGATGCCTAGGCCATATTTTCAAAGTTTAATCTAAACTGGGAAAAGGAGCGTATATATTCCACTTAGGGAAGATAACTATATCTGTAGCATATCTAACTTTCTACACAAATCAAAATGTTTAGTTGGTAAATTTAAGACAAACATTAAACTTATAACTTCTGTAAGCTTTTATAATAAAATATATATATATATATACATAGCCTGAATTGTCGTAAAATTCAAGTTTGGAAGTTAATATTTCTCTAGCAGTATAGAGATATGGCTCCTATACAGGAAGTAGCACAAGAGTTATTCAGTAAATGAATTTTGCACCTTCTCATAATCTCTATTGGGTAAAAACAATGTTAAAACTTGAGTTTTAACACTGCTTCCTTTTCCGTCTCCACAATTTTTCAGCAAGCAAATATTGAAATCTTCAATCAGCAAATATTCAAAATTGTGCAACAAGAAGAACAAAAATATAATCGCTACTTCTAGGCCTTCTCATAATTGTCGATAAATTAGAAAGGGTTTTAACAACAAATGGAAGGGCTTCTTATAGAAGTTCAAAATGAAAACCTCACTAAAAACCCTCAATGTCAAAGTGCAAAGTCATGAACTCTCCTCTTTCCCTTAATTTCACAAAGAGCAAACACAAATGTAAACATTCTTCTGACCAACAAACATAACTATTTGCTCAACAGACTCACTTTGCATCTTCTCCATCTTACCTTATCAACTGTTCTATGAAGGAACTTGTTTACTTTTGGTCTCATTTTTCTTCCTATTTCATCGACTACATTTTCTCAGTAAACAACCGAACTGTTTAACTCTACAAATATATATCATTCATAACATAAGAAATTTAAT